TCTCGGTCTTCTTCTTCGTCGTGGTCTTCTTGCAGGTGCGTGGCGGCTTCCCCAACCTCAGGTCCGCTATTGCGGACTACCACCTTCGGCGGCCACCTCTGCTATGGCGCATCAGGCCCTGCACACGACGGCGCGCATGAAATAGCTCCGATACCAATGCAATCAGACTCGTACTCATTCACACTTTTCATGCATGTAAACAGCAACGCAGCAAACTGGCGACATGCGCCCCCTCAAAACTCAGAGATATGGCTTCCAGATACGAGTTCACTCCCAACTGGCTATGGCGACTCAGCGCCCAAACAACTCACTGTTCACACACACCGGATCACCCTGGATATCCCACACGCGTCACTCTGAACACTCACGCATACACACACACTTCCTACAGCTATGGCAGCTATGGCTGCCTCTACCCTATCGCTATACTAACTCCTCCTCTCTCGCCCACTGCGTCCTCCAGGCTCACTGCAGACCTCCTTGCACAAGTCGCTGTGACAGCGCTTCCACATGGCTCACGCAGGAATGAATGAAAGGCTGGGCGCTGCCTCTTGATTTATACTTCAGAAACTCGTTGGTCTGCCCTTTGCCATCGGCCCATGGTGCTCACAGTCCCCCGTGGTACTTGCTGGACCGGACTGGGACTGACTGGACCTTACCGCTGACTGACTGTGGACTCATTGCTATCCTACCGAGGTCGTACTGCGATTGCGCTGCAGTTTAGTCCACCACTTGCCCACTTGCCGACCTTCTAGAAGGACTACAGCTAGACTTCTGGAACTCGCTAAGACTTCTACTCTATAGACCTACAGATCGAACCCCTGCTGCCTATAAACCTACGACAGACCTACCAACTGTCTACGAATACACAGGTCACAGGTTCAACTCTCGGGGCTTACACAGATACTGTACATGGGTAGGACGAGGTCTAGGGATCGAACCCTGGGTACTGCATCTGCCACTGCTAAAAGGTGAAAACCGTTTCACATTGCCCAACTGGGCAGGTAACATATGGGCAGTCTGCAAAATCGTAGAGATGGAAGGGAGAGATATGGAAACGTGAATATGAGGAACACGAGGCATGGCCAACATCTAATGGAGATGAGATAGGGGTCAGAGCAAAACGGAAAAGGGGATGGGATTGTGGGGGGATGGGATTGCCGTGCAAGGGATGGAGTTGAGGGAGCGAAAGATAGGGGGGAGAGGGGGGGGGGGCAGGATTTCTCCCAGCTGGATGGGATTGGACCTGGGCGAGAAGATGGTGTGACAACACTGTGGAGGTGGAGGAGAACAGGATGCGAATGAGATTACTTTTGAATAGCATATTCGATAGGGTGAATTGGGTGGGGTGGCGGGAGGAGGGAGATGGGATCGGGGTGGGGTGTGGTGGGGAAAAGGGGAGATCTCTCTCCAATCGCGGGGCAGGGTGGACTTGGATATGATCGATGGGAGAGAGGATAGGATGGGGCGGACAGGGAATTGGGGGGGGGGGGGGGGGGGGGGGTATTGGACATTATGCTCACTAAATCAAGGTGAGCGGGCGAAGTGGGCGGACGTACCTCAGCCTTGTAAATCCTGCTCTGGAACGTGAAGTCAAAAGTSTTCCTGCCTTAGTGCTCGAGTGCTTTTGCTGCCAATTTCGCTTTCCACGTGGCGGAGAGGGAGGCCTAAAACCTATTGCAAAGGCAAATTATGTGGGGGGGAGAAGAGGGAGGGGGGGGGGGGGGGGGGAGAGGGGAAGGGGAAGGGATCGGCTCAGGCATGGCAAGGGGGGTGCAGTTGAAGGAAGACAGGCACTAGGATGGGACTGGGGGAAAGACTGAATGGGAGGGAGAAATCAGCGGGAGAGATGATGGTCTTGAGATGACGGGGATGAGCGGCCATGGGAAGCAACAAAGAATTGCAGAGGGGGAACAGAATGGCATGAGATCGGGGGTGGGGAGATAGGTTTGGTGCATGGCGAGGGGATGGGATCAAGAGAGATTGGGATGGGAATGAGATAAGATTCAAATAATGGATGGGATCAGGGGAACAATTGCGATGGGGTGAGAGGAGGAGGGACAAGGAATAGGGGTGTGTGGGGGGGGTTGGTGGGTGGCAGGGGGGAAAGGTCTCCTCTATCATGAGGCAGGCTGGACTGGGATGGGATATGGGGGAGAGGGGACCAGGCGAGGAGGGAGATAGGATTGAACGGACAGGATCAGGGGGAAGGAGATGAGCTCTGACCTGGCACAGGGGATGGAGTTGGGGGAAGACAGGCACCGGGATTGGATTGGGGTGAGAGATGGTATCGAGAGGAGATGGAACTGCCAGGAGAGGGGATGGTCCTGGGGTTCTGAGAATGACCTCCCTCCCTCGCTCTCTCTCTCTCTTGTACTTAAGAGGACAGACGGAATTGTTGGGGGGAGGCAATCTCTGCATCCGTGTGGGGTTTGGGCCGGAGGTGACGTGCACAAGGTAGATGGGATCACATGCCAAGAAAGCATGATGATGCAGTCTAGGGAAGAGGGAGGGGATGGTGTCAATTGAGATCGCGGTGGAGTTTCAGAATGGAATTGGGAGAAGGTAAATGGGTTGATGATGGGAGGGGAACTATTAGGATGGTGAGAGGAGGGATGGAATGACAAAGAATCGGAATCAGAATGAGACAGGATCAGGTGGGGGAAGAGGGAGAGACTAGGGCAGGGGATGACCGAGCACGACATCCTCCTCTTGCAAGCTGAAGACATTGCAGCTCCGGCTCTTCCCACCAGCATCACTCCTGTGCAGGTGGTGGTTGATTGCGTCCGTGGTTACATATACCTGGTTTGTACCTGGATTGGATGTCAACCTGTGGAAGCACCGTTCCCAATTTATTTGATTCAAAATATGTTCTTGTTCTTTTAAACCACCAGTACACCCGGGCCTGGAGGCGCCTTACTGCGCGCCAAGCTTTTCTGAACTGCCAGCGGCGCACTTTCTTTCTTTTTTGGCTGGCGCCGCCAGCGATTGTGGTCCGGTAGGGCGAGCCTCCAAAATTTTGGTAGGCGACGAGTTGCATTTTCAGCAAGGCTGGGGCCGTGTACTGGCGGCTGGCGGTTTAAAATGAAAACTCCCAGCTACCTCCCACCAACTGGCCTAACTCAGTCGGTGCACCCATGAACTGTTGAAATACAGACCAGAGTTCAAACTCCACTGGAAGCAGACGAGTGAAGTACTACAATTCTGAATTACCTAGGGCCGGTCAGTTCGATGATAACATCTCAAGGCCGTTGTCCCTTTGAAAAAAAAAAAAAAAAAAAAAAAGAACTCCCAGCTATTTTGTTCCGGAGCAAAGGTTAACCCACCGCTTTAACAGGGGCTCTGCCACTGGACCAACATGGCTGGCAGCGCCAGTTTGCACCCACGTCAGCTCGTTTCTTTTTGGCGTATAGCCGCATTCTGGTCAGGAAAACGAGGTTTGGATGACCTCGTGGGATATAGGCCTGGCCTCATGTCCATCCTGGGAACACAGTCCGCTTCCTCTCCACCAGCAAGTTGCAAGGTACACATAACATGACACACCCACGTTTTTTTCTGATAAGACCTAGGGAACACTGAACGACACTGACTACTCCTTGCTATGGAGATTGACTGTCGGACACCCTTTTCCTTCCTAGGATCCTGTCAGTCCCCACCCTGCTGAGACTGTCAGAGATTGACTTGAAAGTTGAAACCCAATACCTCTGAGGTCCAAGCTGTATTGGGCTGCACTGCTTTCCCTGTTGTTGTGTATCCCGATTGATGACTTGCTAGCCATCGATGGTCTGTGAGCATCTCCTTTTTCGGATCCTCCAAAGATTGGCCTTTTGGATTGGGTAGAACCATGTCTTTGTTTCTCCTTTC